TTTGAAGAATAAAACACAATAAATCAAGCTACTTTGCAATATTTATGTGATAATACGGAACAATATACGAGGAATCTTAAATCTTAAAGTTGTTTTGATATTGCATAATGAATAAACGGGATCCATGAATCCCACGGATTTAATTAGCACATCACTGTTTTTTGTTTATAAATATATTTTATTTATTTCTATATTATATTAAATTTACAGAATTTTCTGCCAAAATACTTACCGATATAATCGAAAGTGCTGGATGGAAACTATTCGTGAGGGTATTGGGCTTGATCAGACGGACACTCATCTAACCTATAATTTGCTTAATTGTGCCACGGTGGCCGTCAAGTAATTTCATATGTAATTATGAGGTATGGAACACAGAATTTTGTCTTAACATCCATACTTTTATATAATAAATGTGTGTTTGTTTGTCCTTCTTTCACGTCAAAAAGGAGTGACGCATCCGCGTGGTTTTTTGTGTGGAGATAGTTGTAGGGCTGGAAAAAGACATAGGCTGCTTTCTACCGCGGGTTCTGCTAGTAATATATAATTGCTCGCGCTTCAGTCGGTCCTCAGGACTTCAGTTACAAATATTATATTATAACTGAAAATTGAACTTTATTAAAATTAAAGGTCTTTAAAACTCTAAAATATAATATTTTGTGTACAGTTTACTTTTTAAGTGTTTTCTTAAATATGATTTATTTTACATAGTTGTTTCTAAAGTAAAAATTCTTTAGGCGTGACTGAGGGGTAAGTTGAGAGTCAAATTTATTATTAATAATTTTAAAAAATATATTGTATTATATTCTTATAATAATTATTATTCATAAAAATGTATATTTATGATAATAATAACTTTTATAATAATTATTACTTATAATAAAAAAGGGTAAGTGCAAGTCAATTGCGCACACGAAGATTTCCGTACCATCGTACATGTACTTTTTATTAATATTACTTTTTAACCCATTTCCAAAAAGGAGGAGGTTCTCAATTCGTCGGAGTCTTAACTTCTTACTCTACATTGTACTATGTACTATATTCTTTTTAACTAACTATAACTTCGATGATCGATTACGAACGTTCAAAAAAATTCTTGTATTTTTATTTTTTTATTTTATTTATTTTTATTATTTGTTGTTATAGCGGTAAAAGAAATACTTACTCTGTAAACATTTCAACTCTCTACCTATTACTGTTCGTGACTCACAGGCTACAGCCCTCTGACAGACAGAACGGACAGCGGAGGCGTAGAAATAGGATTCCGTTGGCACCCTTCAACTTTTTTTGAAAGAATCTAAGTTTCATATTTTTTTACAGTTTTAATTTATTTATTAATATTTATTAATATTTGAAATATTAATTATTGCAATTAACTTGAATCAAATAAATAATGAAATATGAATAGTTTTCGCTCTTTATTATTATTCTTCGAATGATTAGATATTAAATAAAACAACATAATTGTTTTGACACATATTTATTTATTCCCCTCGTACTGAAAGGGGGCCCATTTAAAAAAGGGCGGAATACAATATTTATTTACTACATTACTATTTGGTTAAATAAGTTTTTTTTTGTTTTTATTTCATTTTTTTAAGTGTATCTAAACACATAAATGTCACATTGATATCATTAAGGTTATTTTTTTTCATTTATATCTTTTTTATATACTTAATATCTCACACTTACAACGGAATATGTAAAGATTTTCAAGTTTTTATTATTTTTAAGAAAAAGTAAATATTTTTTTTTATTTTTATTTCATTTTTTTAAGCGTATCTAAACACATAAATGCCACATTGTATTGAAATTTCTAAGGTTACTTTTTTCACTTATATCTTTTTTGTATACTTAATATCTCACACTTATAACGGAATATGTAAAGATTTTCAAGTTTTTTTTATGCTTAAGAAAAAGTAACAAAAATATGTACTAAATGTAATTTTTAGCCACATTTCCGAAAACATTTTACAAACGTTTAACGTTTATATAATAATAAGATTTGTTAAGTTAAGTAAAGAAGTACATGTAATAGAAGTTGAGTTATTAAAATGTACATACAATTATAATTTCATACAATGATAATCACATATTATAATTAATCTACGACATAGAGTACATCATCAAAATTTTAAATATATCTAACTTATGTATTAATAATTAATTAATTTAAAATTTTTATCATTCTAAAATATATGTGATATATATTAAGAAATAATCATCACGCAGCAGCATATTCCTGTAAACCATCTATCTCCTACGTCCTTCTTTTCATATTTTATAATATTCAGTCCCTTTTTCATTACAGCCTTCGTTTTACGTAGGAGAAAATACTTACACATAAAAATCTTTATTGTCAGTACTTGTCCTATTTTTAATAGAACATTATTATAGCCACTGACTGTCAATATGATCTTCAAGACGATTGTGTAAACACTTGTTGCCATTAACAAGATAATTGAATTTAATAAGCACATATTATAATGGTATGTGTGCTATTTCCCACAGCTTTAAAGTTCATATGTTATAATCAATATCACTGTTGTTTAGTCCAACCAATAAAATCTATTATAGCCCAAGTCTTTATAATGTCAGCAGTCAACATTATTTAAAGTTTACATTTCCGCGAAAGTAGTCTTTGTATCTATCGTAGTACATAATACTTATATTATATGTACTATTATATAATATAATATATATCTACGAGTATATATATTAGATGTAATACACATTGTATGTACTTATCAGTGGCGAAGGGTGAAATTTTAGCAGAGGTAAGCCGTTCCAAAAATATACAATTTTTATATACGTATTAATGCAGAAAGAAATAAAGCTATTATAAGAACATTTAAGTATTTATAAAATTAAATGTATGTAAAATTATAGCAAAATACATTTTAGGTAAGACGTCTTGTATAGACTCTTGGCCACTGGTAGGTATTTATAAATTAGATACTTTCAATACGACTAAAAAGTTACAGTTATAAAAATATTCAATGCAGTAGTGCTATTCAGGCCGAGTTCAATATTTAGGGCCATTGATCACTAGGACTTGCACAATATTTTTAATTTTACCATTATTTTTTAAATGTAATTAATTATACATTTAAATGTTTGTATAGCTTAGGCTAACTTTACCACGGCTACTCCTAAATAAAAGTAGCGGAATATAAAACATTTACTAAGATTATGGCACATCTATTGTTAGTTAATAACATTCATTTTCATCTTAACAAAGATTTTCTTTTATTCTAAAGGTTTCAAATTAGTACAAATATCTTAGCGATTGATGGATAATTAGATAGATAGATACTCTTTAATGTATACCATTTAGAACAGAATTTAGAATGACAAGTAAAATGTCAAGTTACAGTTGTGTTAAAAACATTACTAAAATCAACACAGTAACCCTTTGTTATATAATACTGATTAGGACAGTAGTCATACTATGACTGGGACGGAAACTGGATTGTAAAAAATTTAAGAGGTTATTTTTTTTAAAGAAAATACGTACTGTAAGTAAGAACTGCCGATGAATATTTACCGTTCCGTTCCGTACCGTTCAAGTACCTTTAATAGGAAACTAAGAATATAAATAGGATGATAGTCAGAAAAAGAAGATAATTTTTTTGGAAGATGGATAATCGTCTTTCCAGGGCAAAGGAAACTTATGATTTATGGAAGAATATAGGATAGAGGTGATTATAGGCAAAATAATGTTAATAATAAATATTGAAATTTAAAAAAAGTATGGTGGAATTCGCCTTTGTAGGCGAATTCCACCATACTTTAAAACACATTCCACAACAATAGAAAACATTACAAAGTATATTGTAAGTTAATTCATAAATTGGAGTAAGAATTTACAAAACAAAAAGGATAACTCTAAATATAAAAATTATATGCGCCTGCGCAATAATGCATTAGTGTAATGTTGCACCATTGTGCTTATTATTTTTCTATTACTTATATTTTTTTATAATAAAATAATTTATTCTTAATTTAACTTAGATTCATCAGAAAATAACTTCTCTTTAACTTATCCACTATATAATAAATAAACTAACAGATATTTAATTTAAATTGGAGAATATTTGTAAAAAATATTTGAAAAGTTGAGTTATCCTTAATAAATTAAAATGTTCACATGTAATACCTAAAAATATTAATAGCTTAATATTTGGCATATATATGTTCATGCAAACTTAATGCGTAAATAAAAGTTGATAAATCTTAGAATGAACGTAATAGACGCACAATTATATTGTACACTTATAGAGGAGAATATTTACAATGTACACTAAATAAAAATTATGTTGATATTAATATAGCATATTCTTATACTTAATTGATGAAACAAGCATTATAACATAATGAAAAGAAATCAAAATTTTCATATTTTCTATTTTTTTTCTTATAAAGCTTATTAAGGAACCGCTCTTTAAAAAATATGCAAATAATACCTAATAATAATACCTAATAATAGAGGAGTAAAAAATACAAAAAAATATATAATTGTTACTTATAATTAATTAAAAGTTATAGATAATAATATGCATTTATATTTTAAATGTCTGATTTATATTTTAAGTGTAAAAGTGTGTGTGTGATTCTACTTTGCAGGGGACTGTATTGAATGTGTTGAAATTTAGGACTGCCACATACATAGATAATATATTCTGGTTAGGTTATTTTAAAATTGAAAATAACATTTTAATATTCGTACTATGTAAAACATATTTGTGCATATATATTAAAACAGCGTTATAGTTCATAATCTTTAAACACCTATGTATAAGTTATGATTTGAAAAACTACTGAATATATAAATGGTTTTCATTAATTCTTTAACGCTTTATCTTTACGGAAACGCTTTAAGGAAGTTAAAACTATTTTATTTGCCTCTTATATGGCTACATTTATTTTATTCTATTCTAACCTATGGCTGTGCCAAATTGTTTTAGCTTTGATTAATTTCAGATTATATTTTGAATTTATGTTGTTTCAGACTCATCGTCGTCATCTGACTCATTCTCATTGACTTCTTCATCATCATCATCATCGTCCAGATCTTCGTCATCGTCGTCATCTTCATCATTCTCAAATTTAACTGTACACGGAGGCCTAGCGCGTGGTGTAACACTGCCCGAAGTACTTGAAGATTCATCTTCTTCACTTTCTGATGATTCCAATTTCTCTTGTCCTGCAGTACTGGTAGATGGTTCTGGTTCTGATACATCTGACCCAAATGCAACTTTGTCAATAAAGTCTAATTTTTTTCTATATTTACCCATAGTTTTATTAAATTTTAAGTGTTTGCGGTTAAGGTCTTTTAGCTCAAAGTGTGCAGAAGTGAGATGAGCTTTTAGCTTTTGAATGTCTGCTATTAGTCTGGCCACGGCTACAGGGTCCATGCTACTTAAAGATTCAAAGCTGCTCATTGGGCAACTGTGAGTTGGTACATCAGAATCATCATTATTACTTGTTGTACTAGTACTACTACTACTATTCTCTTCTTCACTTTCATTTGGAGAGGGCTTAGTGGATCGCGGTCTCTTACGATTATTCTTTTTTGAAAATTGGGACATATTCGCAACACTCCTTTGTACAAAATAAATAAGACCAGTAGTTAGATTTCCCCAATATACAGAAAGGGTTTCTAAAATAGATAACGGTATACAAGAAGCAATAATAAGAAATATAAGGTAAGAAATACAAATTCGATAAAAAGATAAGTTAAGATGAAAAATGAATTTATAATAATAACTCAAAAACTGAGCCGTGGTTTACAAGTTTTTGAAGTACTGCTAACACAAAAGATATTGAAACTTAGTTTATGTATAATGTCTCTACACTAAATAGAATACTTGTATTGGACAAAACGGTATATTATCACTATTCTGGTATAAAAAGTTTATAACAACGTGTCTCTTCCTTTGCATATAATTTCATTTCATTTTCACTTTTAGTTCAATTTTGATAGCTTTAAAAAAGCTTAGTCAGTTGAACTTCGTAGACACTGTTTTTTGTAATACACAATGCTCCATATGGTCCTGTATATGTAATTTTTTTTGGTAGTTGTGCTGCTAATTGTATTGGTCTTTTTATATATAACACTCGCAAAGCTCTTACTAAAAACAAAAGCACGATATAAAATTATGCTGAAAAAAAATTACTCATGAGTTGCAATTTTCATCTGCACTTTTATATGAAAATACATACTATTCAATTCTTAGAAGTTAAAAAGAACGAAATTATGCTATACTCTTAGATATAGAAGCTGATGAAATTTGCAGTATGTTAGTAAAATTTTCCCAGGTAGTTAATATACATCCTTAGTATGAAGAGGGTAGAGGTAACTCTTTACCTCTACCCTCACTATCTTTATGGTGAAAAAGTGTTCATCGAAATGCGTTAAATTAGGGTGGCGCCATGGTAACAAGTAGGTAAATTTTAAAAAACCGCCATAAAAAAACATTATCTACGTCTATACCACCACAGTTTTTTTCGGATATATTTACTACGGTTCGGGTTTGTCCGTAGGTACGTTTTAACGATTTGTATAGATTTCTCAGAGATGAGATACTTTAAAAGTAAAAAGTATAACTTATATGTTGACACGGATAACCAGCTATCATCATACTACAGCAAAATCTGTCCAGTAGTTTTCTCGTGATGCCTTTCCAGACAGACGTACAGACAGGCACAAATTCAAAAAATATAAGTTCTGCCTCAGTATCGATAATAATGACTATTTTATTAAGATTTTAGAAAAAATATTTAAGGTACAGATTCAACTCAGTTAGAATTTTATTATATGTACAGATAGATTTACTTTGGACTATGTAAATAATTTTTAAATATTAAATTTTTAACTCAGCACACTTTACTCCGTTTCAACTGCTAAATTCGCATCATACCTTCTTGCTACGCTAGAGGCATCCTAGTGGGTTTTTGAACTGTTATTTACTGCTTACAGATGGACACTTTTTCAACTTGTCTCCCTAAATTTATATTTATATTAATATAAGATAATCTCCCTAAATTTATGCTTCATAATCCTTAGCTAATTCCCTTTTAGATTTTCTATGGCTTTAGCATAGACATAGAGGAATGGACTGAGCAATACCCTCATGAAATTGACCACTCTCTAGAAAGAGAGAAAGCAAACGTGCGGCCAATACCTCTTTTATATATAAAAATTAAAGTAAGTTATATAGGAACTTAAGGATATAATTTCTTAATAAATCACTTTAAATATACAAATATCTGAATGCACAAACATTACTAAAATAAAACATATTAATATACACACCTGTAAATTCAATAAATTACATTTTAAGTAGTGCATATATACACCATTTAATGCAAAAATAAACTTGGTTTTGTTTTTTTAGCTGTTGTGGAATTCATCCGCTCCTGTGAGGCTATGACGTAGACCAATCACAATTCCAGAAAGAGACAACTACTGGCCGCACGATCGCTTTGCCTCTCTTTCTAGAGATTTTCTCATTCTCTATGCCGATGAGCTATAGTAATCTGTGACGTAACTTTTTTGTCAACTCAATTGACTAACTATTTATTTATTTCAAAGCTAGTAAAAATCTATTTTTATAATTACTTGATAACTAATCGCCTTTCAGGGTTCAAATAAAGTGCTACTTTAGAAAAGTTGTGTATTGGAATAATTGGTTAATAATAATGAATATGCTTTGCTTTAAATTAAATAATTTTTATATGGGAACCGAATCTAATTGTGATCTGAGTCTGGTGCTATACTTAGTCCTATTTTGTGACTTTGACTAAAATATAGCAAACAAGTTTCTTCTTTACAAAATGTTAGATTTTCTATGCATAAATTAACATAATGAGTAGGGGAGGGGTTTCCAGTTAAAACAAAATGTTGATCGAAAGAATCAACAATACAATTCAAATACTTAGATATCTACATTCGCATTTGCGAAATTTAAAATTTGGTAATTGTATTGAAAGAAAACAAGCGCTCAGCTTTTATAATAAATTGAAAGTTTGTAAGTTGTGCTGAACAAAAGCAGGTAATTGCAAATTATTGAACGATTTAGATTATGCATAAATATGTTAAAAATATTAGAGAATAATTCTTAAATTAAAAGATAAAATTCTTTAGTCTGCGGTAAAATGATATTACATTTTGAAAAATTCTAAACTCAACAATTAAATTTGTTGAAGAGCATTTCATCAATACCTTTTGTTAAAGAAAAAATTTGCAATTACATCCTTATGTTTCCTAACTACATGATTAATATGGTGGAATGCGAACTAGTTCCATTTCCTTTTGAAATAGTTATATTTTCAACCGACTTCAAAACGGAGGAGGTTCTCAATTCGACTGTATTTTTTTTTTTTTTTTTTTTTTATGTTTGTTACCTCAGAACTCCGTCATTTAGTAACCGATTTGGACAATTTTTGTTTTGTTTGAAAGGGTATACTTCCAGATTGGTCCCATTTAAATTTCAAAAAAAAATACCACCCCTAAGGGTGGAAAAACAACTAATGATGAATTTAACCTACTTCTAATTGTCGTATTGACTTGAAATTTTGCAAGTATTTCTATTTCCGTTGATAGTACAGTGGTTCGGTGTTGTTGACCTGATCTGATGGTAAGGCCAGAAGGTGGATAGGTGGAACTCTTCAACGGCTAATAGTAGATACTTTGAGTTTGGGCTTATTTTGTTTGATTTGACAAGCCTAACACGTTAGAATTCTTAAAAGGGAAAAATAAAAACTTTTTAACAAAAAAATAAAAACCGACTTCAAACAAAAGCACTAAAAAGTAAAAAATAACTGATTGGTAGTTTTCATTTACTATACATACCTAATCAAATATTTTCGAAGTCGGTGTGCTTTGCAAAGCACACCGACTTCGAATATTTGATTAGTATGTATAGTAAATGAAAACTACCAATCAGTTATTTTTTACTTTTTAGTGCTTTTGTTTGAAGTCGGTTTTTATTTTTTTGTTAAAAAGTTTTTATTTCGATTACATATAAAATTGTATAATATTTAATTTCTATTTTGAATAATAATTAAACTATCTATCATATAGCAACTCTGTTTTTAAGAGTCGTTTATACTGAGATCCTTATTACTAGTCCATTTCCAATGTATATTTTTAATCAATAATATTAAAAAAAGAAATTTTGAAAACATTTTGTATCATAAATTTCCCACTATAATAGTTTGTTTACTATACTATAATTCTGCAATTTTTGGGTATATTTTGCTTTTTTCGTAAAAAAATTGTTTATTCTCATAAAGTACATATTTTTAATTTGATTTTTATTGTATATTTTATCTTTTACTTAGTACATTCATACATAAGTTTTAGATGAAAATTATTAATAAGTTTCAAACGATAGTGCATTATGGATGTCATTATTATTTTACATAAATTTTATAAGATCATATGTACAACGAGATAATCGATATGAATTACAAGATGGCTGCCATGTCCATCAAAATGGCTGACAAAAATGACAATATTATGTAGACCTATGCATATACATATGTGTATATTTTTCTTTGTTTATATACATTTTGGTGGCTTGTATTATATTCAAATTTTATCGAAAATGGACTAAAAATAAGGATCAAGTACGAAAGGCGTTTACACTTTTCCCGCACCACAAAATTAAAAAAAAAAACTAGATCCATGAACACTATAAGCACTATGCACTGTACACTGGCTTTAAACTACTTTTTAAGATGCCTTCTAAAAAATGTTCACTTTACTGCTATTTTAGCATATGAGCAAGCTCAACCTGGGCACAGCGGTAGGTGGGTATTCCACGTACACCCTAAAAAGAAATGTAATTACGATTGTATAGAATGGATATAATGATTGTATAGAATAGACTTTCGCAGCATGAATTTACTTACCAAGTACACGTACTATGAATAATCTTGATATTTGATATTTTCACTTTGAAGAACGGCTTCGAAAGGCAGAGAAGACCAGACAAAGGTGCGCGGTATTATTGATCCAGTACTTTCAGGGTGTTCAGCATCAAAAATTACTAAAACGTATTGGGATATCTTGTGATTGAATAAAGATAATGTTTTAATGAAACATTAATATTTTATTGTCTATAAATAATTCAAAAATATATTTTTTAAACAATAGTTAAAATATAAATGTAAATAGAAAATATTTCAAAACAATAATTATTTTCAATGGCAAGTTTGGGATTAATATTTAGACTGAACTTTTAGGTTTATATTTTCCTTCAAAGTTTGGAAGAAATTTTGATGTGGTTAATTAAGAAAATGAAAATGGCAAAATTATTATTTTATTGCAAATACTTAATAGTAGGCACCTCATCATCTACTATTAAATAGGAATATTAGGTGTGAACCTTTTATAACTATCACGTACTATAAAAGTTCTATCTAATATGCTATTTTATACTATACCTACTAGCAGAACCCGCGGCTTCGCTCGCGCTACAACTCGCCCCCTATTTTACCCCCTAATAAGGGATGAATTTCGAAAAATGTTAAAACACATTTTTATGTAATTGTATTGAAGAGTATTAATATCAAGTTTCAA